CCCTGGAAATGGAAAGGCAGTCAGCTTAAAATGCCTCTTACCGCTTACCCTTAAGAGCCCCACCCCCTTCACTGCCTCTGTATTCTGGGGTGCTAAAATCTCAGAAGCATTGGGAGACTTGCCTCCCCCACTACCAAATGCTGCAGCAAGAAAACAGCACAAAAGCTGTGTGCACCCTTTTTAAAACCAGAAAAGTAACCTAAATGAAGGAAAGTGGAAACGAGAGTAAATGTATCAGGTAGCAGATGCAGGGAAAGACCGGGCCCTGAAATTCTAGGCAGCTGAAGCCAGTCAGAGTACTACTGAGCTAGGCAGACAATTTTCTTGGCCTACTATAAGGCTGGCTCCTGTGTGCCTAATGCAGATACAAAGGAAAACAGAACTGATCTGGGCATGGGAATGTTTGGTGTATGTATGTCATAAAGACAGCTGATTTTCTGGGGTAGATATAGCAAGAGGCTCTAGCTCAGTGCAAGGGCAGCTACCGGTATTTTGCTTGCAGAATGTCCCACTCCCAGCTTCAGTCTCTTAGCATCTCCACTGAAAAGTTGGGATAGGGGGAGAGAAGGTGCTTAATGCTTCCTCTACTGTGCTGTTTTCCTGATTTAAGTACCCTGCCCAGCTGCCACTGATTCCTTGGCGCAAAAGCTAGATGTACTAGCTGGCTCCATCAATTGCGTATTCTTCCGCTTATGTGACATTTAAATGCGAGAACAGCAGACAGGCCAGGACGGATTTTAAGAAAAAACAAGTGTGCTCTATCATATAATGCTTTAGGTACTGCTAAGACTCATCTCTTTCCCTGCCCCATTTCCCCCTCTCTTTATGTCTTATGCCTCATTTCACCACACACCAACTATGCTGCTGTGTGCAAGCAAATTTAGATTTAGCACGGTTAGAATGAACTGCAGAGAGGGTAGATTTCAGGGTGAAAATGTATGCCTGCCAATTAGTACTACGTACTTTCTCATAATTACAAATATAACACTAAATCTGCTGCAGCCCTTGCAATGTGGGGAATCTCTAGCCCTACAGTTCAAAAGCTGCGCTACAACATTTCAAAGTAACAAATGTGGGGACATCATCATTAATTAAAATAAACCATTAAAGCTCCACCTGAACAATAATAAAGTGGAAGAAAACTAGTGCAGCAGAAAATCTCCAGCATCAGTGAATAAAATTGTTTAAGTATTCATTCTGAAAGGTCTGGGCTAATAAAAAGGCTCATCATTCAGCATGAATGTTTGCCACTCCAGCACCAGTATGAGTCTGCCTGTCCGTCTATCCAGAGACTTCTCTACCTTTTCCACAGCACACTGAGTGCTGGTTCTTCTTGCTGCTGTCAGTGACCACATCAGGATACTTCCAAAGGAAAGCATTGGGAGCACAGCAAGCCGTTTATTTTCCTTAGAGGTGTTCAGCAGTAAATGCTTAAATGGAAGCGTTTTATCATTCTTATGTACACAAGAGGGCAGTAAAATCCTCCACGTGCATGCAAAAGGGGGGCGTGGGAGAAATACCCTGAAGGGGGAACATCACAGCCAGGCTATCTTCCCCAGACTAGACGCTGTTTCTTTGTTGTTTCCATTCTACTGTCCAATTTACCTAAAGAATTAGCAGTGTTGGAAAGTAGAGAAAGGTAGCTTGCTAGGGTGACAACTGGAGAACATGTCCCATTTGAGCTGCCCCTGGTTTTCTCCTGAAGGAGCTGTGCTTCTGCAGTGCCAATGAGACACACTTTGCAACCTCACCCAGCTTATTCAGCAGCGACTATCTTTGCAGTAACTTCAAACAATAAAAACACATGCCTGCGGAGGCGGTGGGAATTGGGTGGGCTTCAGTGAAATAAGCAAGATCTATAAAATGTTACCCATTGATTCTACCCTCCCCTCACCAACTCTCTCTGGATCCTGCCCTCTGTCTCCTGCAAGTGATAACTTCCCACTTCATTATGAGTGCCTTCTTTAGCATGGAGGCTGTGTCACCCTATCCCAAGCCTGCCACCACCCCAGCTTCTCCATATAGTTAAGTCTTCTGTAGTGGTGAGAAATTGTCCAAATAGCACAGGGAAATATAAGTTTGGTTTGTATCTTTTTCACGCAGCCTGCAAAAGTGCTTTAGCCTCTTTGTGGCTTTTCCAGCTCTAGCTGCTTTAGCTACCCTGTCCTACCAAAACGGGGTTATGCACAGATCAGAGGCAGTTGCTGAGTTATACCAAGTCAGATTGTTTCTCCAGGTATTGCCCACTGTGATGAGATCTGGCTTTCCAGAACCTGTCCCATCTCCTGTCACCCTGGAGACTCACTTTCTGCATGCAGTGTGTGTCCTTGACCACTGAATTGCTGTCCTTCTCCATATCCTACAAAGCAGAAAAGGGCCTCGATGTATTTGAACCAGCACATGCACAAAGCATCCATATGTAAATAAGGAATTGTGAAGATATCTAAATGAGACTTGACAGACACTCTCAAAAGGCAAGCAATAATGTTTTTGTACATCTATGAACTTCGCCTGAGACTGTCAGCAATCACATGTATCATAGGCGCACAGATAACGACAGCTGCAGCCAACTCTATGATCTTCTGTACTGTTTGGTTAGATGGCACAACTATCCACTTTTACCATTTCAAAAAGTTGCTGTGACCAAGTAAGGGCAAGAGGTTAGTGGAGCAGACCTCTGGCTTAATCAATAAACCAGATTAAGAGCTGGTGTGTGGGTGCTTCAACTCCCTACTCACTCGTGCAGCTCACTGGCTGAACCTGGGCCTGTCCCTACCTGATCTCGGCCTGATCTACTTCACAGGGTTATTGTAAGAAAAAGTGGGGGGCGGGGGGGGGGAGAACCAGGCGTACAGCCTTGATTTTTTTTTTTGCACTAAGAGCAACATAAAAACCCACATAAGTATCTAATTAAAACACAGCCCTTCCTCTCAATGGAGGAAACACAATGGTTAGGGTCCTGTCCATCCTTTCCCCTCTCCCCAGCTGTTACATCAATATTCCATTAGAGATGGCCCTGGCTGCACCCAGAAAAGAGCAGGCCTTTGGCCTTAGCTCCAGTAGCTGTCCAGCAGGTTTTTCTGGCACTGCGAGTATGCTATAGATTTTTAAGGCTATCAAAAACACAATGCATGGATTACAGTGTTTACAGACTGGGCTTTAACAATCCATTCATGAAAAGTGGAATAGGCTAAGGGTTAAGAAAAGTGGTTGAGCAGTTTCCTGGGTGAAATTTTTCCGTGATCAACATGACACTTTGAAAGATAAGCCTGCTGGTATGCCCACCCCCCTGTCCCACTCCAGAGGAAGAAAGGTGTGTAGATCAGAGGTCAGCAGAAAGCCTCCAGAGGTTTTGCCAAGGTATCGGCTGGAAAGCCAAGTGGGATTTTGACACTCCCAAACAGCAAAGTTGTTTCACTTATGTGGGTAGAAAGACTTAGCTTTTCCTCTATTCCCCTGTGCAAGTCGTCTTTCTCCAGTTTCCTGAAAAGCTGCTCTGCAAGATTTTTTTAAAAAAACATGGGAAAACAACTCATTCCACACTTCATGCACACTGAAACTGACTCTTCTGTATTTAGGACACATGCCACATATAACGGTTGCTATGAGATACCAACTACAGACAATTTGGGATTTTCAAATTAAAGGTTCTTTGAAAATATGTTTTTCCCATTATGTCACTCTTTAGAGAGGAGGCATGTAAGCTTTTCGAACACCTACCAAATTGGGTGCAACCCAATGTACTAGTCAGCTAAGTTTATCCTTTATCAAAACAGGGCTGGCTGTAGCACACAGCCAGATTAGATGGATACCTTGAGCGGCAGAATACAGGCTTCCTGTTTCAATTTGGAGATTATTGCTCATACCTTCCATATCTATATACAGTCCTTAAGCCAGCTGCATTTCTAAAACATGTGAGAGGTGCTTTCACACCTTCCCTTTCTAGCAGTCTCTTTGAGCGTTTCCACAACCTCCCTGAGCAACTTTTTCCATTGTTGATCTGTTTAAACGGTTAAGTTCTGAACACTGAAGGCTCCCACTGGCAAGGCATCATATGGCAAGCAGTGAGCAATCTTAACTGGATGCACCGCTGCTTCCCTCTCTCCCCACCCACACATCACACCATCCTTTGTGGCTTATCTGACAAACAGTATATAAGCAGCTCCCATCTTACAAAAAGTGTTTGTCTTTCTCTTTCTACTTGTTGACGCCCTTGCTATTTTGAAATTGTTTGCTTTTCTCCATATATAAAGAGAAGTAGTTTCACCTGAAGGCTACTGTACTAAACCTCTCTAGGCATATTTACCTTGGAGAGAGTTCCATCAAATATGGTGAGAACTACTTCTGAGCGAAGGGACGCGGGTGGCGCTGTGGGTAAAAGCCTCAGCGCCTAGGGCTTGCCGATCGAAAGGTCAGCGGTTCGAATCCCCGCGGCGGGGTGCGCTCCTGGTGTTCGGTCCCAGCGCCTGCCAACCTAGCAGTTCGAAAGCACCCCCGGGTGCAAGTAGATAAATAGGGACCGCTTACCAGCGGGAAGGTAAATGGCGTTCCGTGTGCTGTGCTGGCTCGCCAGATGCAGCTTGTCACGCTGGCCACGTGACCCGGAAGTGTCTCCGGACAGCGCTGGCTCCCGGCCTATAGAGTGAGATGAGCGCACAACCCTAGAGTCTGTCAAGACTGGCCCGTACGGGCAGGGGTACCTTTACCTTTTACTTCTGAGCGAATGTGCATAGGACTGCATTGCAAGTTTCCTAGTCTTCCGTAGTATGAAGGGAGAAAAAGAATATTCCCCAATGCTCAGGATCATGTCACACAGCGTCAAGCATTTCAAAACAAACAGCTCAAAGTCACCTAAACCTTTCTTGGCTATTTCTTGTGAAAGTTTTATCCCACCACCATCACCTGTACTTACCTTCCTAGATGCTAAACTCCTGCTGCCCCTTCTTCAATCCCAAATAATTCCATTAGCAGCAACTGGAATCAAAGCAGAAAGCAGACATGTGGAGGAACATATAGCTATTTTTTAAACTTTTATTAAGTCTTAATTTGTTCTGAACATCCTCCCTACTACAAAAATGAATCATACTCTTTGCTTTCACTGTGATTCAATTCTTTATGTTACATTACCGTTTCACAAATATTTTGACAGGCTGCTAGATAGGCTCCTTCTCTTTTGGGGTAAGAAGAAACAAATGGAAGGGGCTCGAGTCTAATGACTTTGTTCTAGCCAGGCACAACAGCAGGTTGACAGCAGCTATGCACAGAGCAGTTGTTCTAGGGATGCTTGCTCCAAGACCTTCTTCCTCCTCCTTCCTGTTATGTATGTATCCTACGCATCCCTTGCTTATTTAAGGGAGCTACGAGAACAAAAGCCCCCATGATAAACCCAAACACAACTCTTTGAAGCGACAGTTCTCTTTATTATTTTTGGCTGCAGATTTTCCCAAACAGAGTAAAAGTCATCAGGTCTCCTCTCTACACATGTGCAATGAAAAAATGATTAAAGCTTTTCTGCCCCAACAGTGCCATCACACACTTGAATAATTGAAGAACTTGTTTGCTGTGTTTCCTCGTGCAGCATTAGGAAATAGGATATGCAGCTAAGGCATCATTCCTTGGTAAATAACAAAATAAATTAAAAGCTAGCAGGAAAAACAAACGATACAGCCATTTGGGCTCCACCACCCACCAGGGTATGCTATCCAACAGGATAGGTCCACTTACTTTTTTTAAGCAAAGCTGCATGTTTCACAGAAGGAAGCAATCCAGTGTTACCCAGCAATAGAAGAGTTTCATATGCAGCTGAGGATAGTTCCCCTCCCACCCCACTTATTGTTACTGGTGAAGAGTAGCTGCAAGCAGGAGACACATCAAGAGGACTAATGAATCCATTGCTTCCTTTTGTTACCAGTATGCTGCTTTTCTAAGTTGCAGATTCCCAACTTACTCCCCACAAGGCATAGAGCAGAATGAAGCAAGCTGCTGTGCACTTGCTGTTGTAGTGGAAATCAAAGCCAATCCATGCCCCTAATAAATACAAAATTGCTCTCATGCCCTCCCGTTTTCTTAAGTGTATCCAGAAATCCTTAGTTCTAGGAACTAAGTCCAGCTAAAACACATCAAAGTGATGCAGGAAGTACTACTAGAAACTGAACAGCAGAAACTACCGTATTTCTTGCCAGCAAGGCTTACAATATAGAAATTCTTTGTCATCATACTGATGTGTACAGTTTTCTCAAGGTAGCCAAAACATTTGATACAACAATCCTTATTCAGAAAAGCAGGAACAGTATTTTGGGGAGTTCTGAAACAAGATGGCTGGTACCATTATAACATCTTATCTGACTTCTGATGGTTTCTGCATGAGTTCTGAAAGATGGCTGAAACAATTGAATAAAGGCAGAAATATACAATGTCACTGACATCACTGAAAATTGATCACACACAAAGAATTTGGGTGTTGTGAGAATTTTTTGGGATATTGGAAGGGGGTGGGATAAATGGCCAAAGCCAGAACTGCCCAACACTTCAGGGAAGACATGTAACTTTCCTACAACTCAGCTGTATTCTGTTCAGCAGCAGAATAAGGCAGTGCAGAAACACAGAGGTAAATACATTCTTTCTGTTGGGAAAACCCTATGTACAAGCTTCCCTCCCCTCAGGCACTGAGAGCAAGACAAGAACGACAATAATTGGAGATTGGCAGGTCACTTCTGGGACAGCTTAGCAATGAGTTCCTTCCATTCTTCTCTCTTGCCTGTTATGTAGGAGGGAGTAAGGAGCTGAAGCACTGGCTCCTGCTGTCCCCGGAAAAATTCCTGACACAGAGCTTCTGTGTTACAGATTACGTACATCCCACAGTCATAGCTATTCTGCTGGGCAGGGGCCTTCTCCTCTACAAAGGCAACTTTGCCTTTCTTGCCGAGAAAGACCTCCAAATTCCCTGCTACCCGTCTGGCATGGGCAGAGTTGCTCCTGGTGTGGGAATCATAGTGAGCAAAGCGGTTTTTGTCTTGGAAGTAAACTAATAGGCTCCAGTGTGTGCCGCCAGCAGCCTGGCTGGAGTTGTCGTTGATGGCCAGGAACACTATTTTCTTGTGGAGGAGGTTCAAAGGCTCAAGAAATAGGGCCAGCTCCTCTTGGCTGCTCGTGCACTTGATGAACTGAGCCACCTCGGGGCCAACGAAGCACACTTGATCGGAGAAGTCTTGGAACTGGTCGCTGGCAAAGTACTCAAAGGCAAACCCGATGATGTGGTCGTTGAGCCAGCAGGGAGGATCCAGCAACAAGACATCCGATTGTCTCAGCAAACTGTCCATGTAACTTAGGACAACAGGGTCCATTCTATCCAGGCAGACTCACGGCAGCCAGAGAAATACCAACGCCTAAAATAATCAAGGGTGAAAAGAACAGATTACTATTAAAATACGTTGGGCTCTCCTCGTTGCTGAAGATGACCAACACAGTCATGGAATTGTGCCAGTTAACCTGCTGAGGGTCTTATTAGCCTCCCTACGTGACTATGATCGCCACCAAACTCCCCCCCCCCCCAAGTTTACTGGCACATGCAGAAGAGGAAGAAACAGCATTTAGTCTCCCTGAGGTAGGGAAAAGGTAAGAAACTGTGGGAGAAAAAGCCTTTTCATGCTCAAACTTGAGCACAGGTGAGGGAAGATCCTGTCCCTCTCTCAAATTCTGGGAGCTTGAGGGTACTGTACTGGAGTACAGAGAAGGAACAAACAGCAGAAGACTCTGCTGTTTCTTGCCTTCTCTAAACTTCTGCTTAAGTGGGACTGGATATGTGCTGTTAGGCACCCTTCTTATTAAAAGACCAGGGATTCTTTCCCCAACCATCATTTTTGTGGATGCTTGTAACTGATAAACATAAACAGGAGAACCAATTTGTTCAGCTACAACCAAAATAAAAGGGACAGGTTCACCTACAGTTGCCATATTTCAGCCTAATCTAACTTGCAGGGTTGTAGTGAGGATAGAAAAGGACATGTATATCACTTAAGACTCTTTGGAGGAAAGGAGGAATATAAACTTAAATAAAATACATACCAGAATAACAGACCAAAGAAACAAGCCTAAGTATTGCAAATAAGGCCATGTATAAATAAGGCTGTGATCTAAACCACTGAGCCTCTTGGGCTTGCCAGTTGGAAGGTTGGCGCTTCAAATCCCCACGACGGGGTGAGCTCCCATTGCTCAGTCCCAGCTCCTGCCAACCTAGCAGTTCGAAAGCATGTCAAAGTGCAAGTAGAGAAATAGGTACTGCTCCGGCGGGAAGGTAAACGGCGTTTCTGTGTGCTGCTCTGGTTTCACTGGAAGCGGCTTAGTCATGCTGGCCACATGACCCGGAAAAAGTGTCTGCAGAAGCAGACAAACGCTGGTTCTCTCGGCCTTTAAAGCGAGATGAGCGTCGTATGGAAGACACAAGATTTACCCACTTTGGAAGAATGGCAGATGAAGGTGATGGACTATATGGAAATGGCGGAAATGACGGGCAGAATCCGAGACCAGGGAGAAGAGTTGGTGGAAGAAGATTGGAAGAAGTTTAAAGACTATTTGCAGAAATACTGTAAAATTAATGAATGTTAAAATGATGCTGGACTGAAAATAAGTGGTTTTGGTAATAAGGTTAATAAGAATATGTAAATATTGATAGTTATATGGATGAAAATATATAGTTATAATAGGTTAAGATACAGAGTAAAGATAAATGAAAGAGGGTAAGGATTTGCTGAAAGGATTTTGTAAACGGGAATACAAAAGGGGAGGTGTGAGGAAGTCAGGGAAGTAAGGAAATGAAATGTAAGGTATGGAAAGATCGATGTGTTTTTTAAGTGTTTTTTAATCTTTTTTCTGTAATTTGTATTTTTTCTTTTTTATTTCTTTTTCTTTTCTTTTTATCTATGTAATCTTTTCTTTGAAACTTTAATAAATATCATTTAAAAAAATAAATAAATAAAGCGAGATGAGCGCCGTAACCCCAGAGTCGTTTGCAACTGGACCTAACTATCAGGAGTCCTTTACCGAACTATGTAAGGTACATACACCACTATAAACTATAAACTATGTAAGGTACATACACCACTATAAACAGTAACATCCCATTACAGTCCACGGGAGGGGATGAGGTGCAGCTTCTGTTTTTAAGCCAATACTAGAATCTGCAAGGCTGTATACGTTTTGTGCCTAGTACCAGAGACACTACCTGTACACTTCCTCAGATGGACAAAAAGGCAAAAGCAGGGGGCAAGTCACATGTAGCAAACCACTTAAAAGTAAGTAGTTTTATGGCATAATTTACCAGCTAGATCTGAAGTAAGATAGGATGTAGTTAATGACACACTGATTCAAATACCAAGGCTTGCTTAAATAGAACAGATCTACTTAGTCGATCATTAAGATGGCTCCTTTAAATACCCAAAATTATTTTTTAAACACGAGAGGACAACCCATGGCACTATAGAATACACTCTGACAAGTGATGGACTTATGATGCATGGTTTATTTAAAAACAATTCCAGAGAACTTTCCGCCTTTCTTCTAACAAACCCACTAGGCAGCAGGAGAGAAAAATTCCACAACCGCCTTCTCTTCTATTCAATAGACTTTTTCAGGATTTGCCTTCAGGTTGCAACTAGACATTATGCCAGGCATGGGGCTGCTGCTGAAAATGACAGCCCCATGCAGAGTCTTCTCTCAAGAACATTTATACACACTTACAGATACCTTTCCTCCATTTCTTCAGTTCCTGCCAAAGCTGCCAGTTGTATGGTGCAGGAATGAGGAAATGGTGGCATGCTGCCATGTGTAAACGTACCTAAGGAGTGCAAGACACATGGCTGCAGTTTTTAGCAACTGTCCTGTATCCAGTATAACTTCTAGTTCCGTATTAACTGTGGCATCCAACATGCCCACGCTGCTTCTCTAACGTGAACTGTCTTTCCAGATAAACTGGAATGGATTCTGGAGTGCTCTCGTTATGAGGAAGGTTGGCAAGAGTGCAATAGGAAGTGAAAGCAGAAGCCAGGTAGGAAACAATAATCTGATATGCAGGGTGCTCCACGACAGGTGGTCTAACATCAACTGAATTTGAGAGCATATTTTTAATTACCAGTACTAATCAGCCCCAGATTAGCCCTGAAATCAGAGACTTGTAGAGTTCAATAGGGCTTACTGGTAAAATTAATGTAGCCATGAAATTATTTGAGGCTTCGTGTTCTGTAAATATCAATTCTTTATCACCCAGGATCTGGTCCAGCCTTCTGAAAGCACAACTTGCACACTGCAAACATTGTCCCTCTGGCATGACTCAGTGCAAACCAGGGAGCACCCACCCAATTCAGCAGGAATGAAATCAAATGTGCTGGTTTATTTACTCATCAGGAAGGAAGTGGGACGCTTCTAACTGCAGTATAAATGATTATGGGACAAAGAAAAGTCAAATTTACCCACTACTTCTTCAGATGAACCAGTGAACCTTGTCAAGCTTTGTTAGGTCAAAAATTAAGCAATATCCTTTTAAGATCTGAACAAGGAAACTAAAGTGATATACATGAAACATACTGGATGCATATACCAGTGGGAGGGAAGATCTCCAGGGAACCAGATTATTTTTTTTTACTCTTTTAAGTGTCTAGAATTTTCCACATTTGTCAAAATGAAATGTCTTACCAACCAATGCACAAGGCACTGATCATTCCAGTTGAGCATTATCAAACATATAATAATAAAACATAAGAGGAGCAGTTACAGTTACCTAACACAACTTGTCACTCAGCCAGCTCTATTCTTAATCATCCTTGAGATTCAAAATAAGAAAAAAGGCAGGGCTGGTTCTGATGTTTATGGAATCATCCTTTGGCTGCAGAAACATCTTTTAATAAACGTGAGTAATCCTCAGAGTTTGCTAGCAGATAATACTGGAAACTACTGCTGGAGTCCTGAACTGCTGTGCCTTATGGAATCGTACACAAGGCTATCTATTCTCAACTCCCTCCTCCCAACCACTTGAAAATTGTGGAGGATCTTGGTGGATTACTCAATCATCTTTCTTAATGCTGAGTGTATATATTCACAGGTGAAAAACAACCCAAAGCAATCTTAGAGAAGGGGTGCTGACCTCACTGTTCTTTAACTCTCTTTGCAGGTGGGGATATGGGCTCCACTGCAAGCCCAAGTACCAGGTGGGTTAAAGGTCTCAGGTAGATGGCTGAGAGTTAATCCTGCAAAATTCCTCTTGTGCCTCTCCACAGGAGCTCTTACACCAACTTGATCGCACTGTGGCTGTGTGCAGCTACTCTAAATCATCAGCAGAAACCCCATTGCACCCTTAGCCACCAGGGATTCCATAGGTGGTTCAAATCACATGACTTCACTTAACGCTGGGGTTTAGTACTGACTGGTGGGAAGACAGGGCCAAGGCAAGGAATAGCTAATGTGTTCAGATGCTGGCTAACTTATTGACATCTAGCTGTCGTCCTCGCCCCCTCCACTCCTGCAGACCACCTTAGTGGAGCTCGTGGACCACTGGTGGTTCACAAACTACATCTTGAGAACCCCGTTCTAAAGAAAGCTGAACAAGCAACCCATTTCACAAAAGAGGTTGTTTCCTAATTGCAGCCATAAGTGCAACTTTCAAGACAAGCTTTCAGTTTTCAAAATCCTTAGTTCTTATTCTCCCAGAGACCAGGCATTTTGCACTAGGAGAGGATCCCTTAATTCTACCACAGCCTGATTTTTGAACAAAATGCTTCAGGAATATCTAATGGCAATGGTAGAGTACTTAATGTCTAAAAAGTGATAGGATACAAAACCTTACCATTAAGCCAAGATGTGACATTGTTATTATTACTATCATTACAAATAAGATGTGAGATGCCTGCTTGCCACTACATACCAATGAAAGATAAACTACACACATTTTAAAAAGCATTATCAATGCTATGTGTGTCTTGGCTGTGAAAATTGATGAGGGACACTGAGCAATGTGTGATGATCCAGAAATAGAAATATGAAAGCAATTAAGTCTTCCATGGATGCAAATATGTTGTCTTGGACCAGGCCCCAAGAAATAATTATCAACCTTACCAGTCTTCACAATTAAATAATCTACCATTTTCCAAGACGATTTGAAAGGGAATGTCCGGCATTGAATCCTAGAAGATTATAATTACAATCTCTTCTAATGTATGAGTAACCTTGAAATGCCGTTATAATCTATTCCTGTGTCAAGTGTGGTGAAGAAGTCAAGTCAAGGAAGTTATTAGAGGCAAGAAGACTTCCTTCAGAAAATGGAAATCTTCCCCAAATTAGAAGAATAATTGAACTACAAACATGCACCCGCAAAAAGGTAAGCAGGTAATTAAGGATACAAAAAGAGAATTTGATGAATATATTGCTAAGATCATTAAGACCAACAATAAAAATTAGTTAAATACAACAGAAGCAGGAAACACTGGTGAGGTGCTTAGACTGCTGGACAAAAAGGAATTTAAAAGTTGTGCTGAAGGAGAATAAAGACATTGAAGAAAACCTGAATGAATTATTTGCCCCTGCCCTACATCTTGTGGAGGATGAAGGGCAGATACCTGTACCTGAACTGACTTTTTGCAGGACGCGAGGCTGAAGAACTTAGGCAAATAGTGACGACAAAATAAATGAACTTCTAAACCTTATTGACAAATTAAAAATTAACAAGAATCACTCCTGGGATTTTGTCTTTTAACACTTGCTTATAAATGACTTACAATTAGGGATGATCAGTAATGTAGCCAAGTTTGCTGACAACAGATTTTTAAAAATAAAAAGAGATTGCAGATTGCCCCTAAAGGATCTTTCCAATTTGGATGAATAGGCAATATCATGGCAAATAAGTTTCAATATAAAGTTAAGTGTAAAATGATACACACTGGGTCAAAAAGCTCCAATTTCACATACATGCTGATGGAGTCTGACCTGGTGATGACTGGCCAGGAAAGGAATCTTGGTCATGTGGAGAGTCCAAAGAAAAAAATGTACCAGTGTGCAGCAGCTATGAAAAAGGTTAATTCCAGCCTAGGGATTATTATGAAATGAATAAAAAACCAAACTGCCAATATTGTAATGCAATACAACTATGTCTCAAAAAAGGATATTGTAGATCTGGGAAAGATGCAGAAAAAGGCAACCAAGATAAAATGGGAGGTGGAGCAATTCCCTTATGAGGAAATGAATATTTTGGGGGTTTTAGGTCAGAAGAAAGGTGAGAAAGGAAGAAAAATGTTAGAGATGTGAAATTATGCATGGTATGGAAAACGTATAGTTCTTCTCTGTCTCATGATAGGAGATTCAGGTCAGACGGAAGGAAGGAAACCACTTAGAGGTTTTCTTACAATCAAGTGTTATGTACATTTTGTTAAAGAAAAATAAGTACTACTTCACACAGCACACAGTTAACCTATAGAATTTGCGGCCACAAGATATGCTGACGGCCAACGGCCACAAACTTCAAAATTTAACCACCAGGCCTTGAACAGCTACAGAATTAATCTGCATTCTGTTCTTTGCTTAAACACCTGCAAACTCATGTTTACAGCAATGCAGTAGTTTTTCAGTTTTCTCCCAGAGCACATAACTGGCAGTCTTTTGCATACATTTGTTCCCAAAAGCAAAGAAGCACTGCTCGTTCTATTAGCTGTTACTTGAAACCTCTTGACAGTGACTCACCATATAAATCCCACATCTAAAGAAAATCCTTGTTAAACACCAACTCGGTTTCCTGGGAGATGTGACAAAGCATATGGTATATGCTATAGAACGGAGAGGAAATGGAGCCTACAATTAGCAAGGGGGAAAGCATGCCAGGGGCTTTTTTTAGGCCCAGCAAGTTTCCTACATGATGGCAAGGTAGAAATTTTATTGTTGATACCCAAAATTGAGCCTGGAACCTTCTCCAAACAAATCTTAGTCTCAAACACTGAGCTGTGGCCTCTTTCCTAACAGGTAGTTCTTACAATACTTCTGAAAGATGCTCAGGCCACACTCCCTCAGAAAACACAAGTTGATAGTCTGAGGGTGTTAGCAGGTCTACTTTTGTCTTTGGAGACTAAAGTATATTCTGTGGCATGAAGTACCTTCATAAGTTGGGTTGAAAACACCAGTCATGGCCCTCAGAGACAGAGACAGCCTGGCCACAGTTAGCCATACTTTGGTAGTATCTCATTTGGACTACCATAATGAGCTGCCCTTGAAGACTGCTCAGAGACTGCAGATGGTTGAAAATGCTATGGCTAGATTGCTAAGTAGGGCCAACAGAAGGGAACATATCTCTCCAGTTTCAAAATGATGATATTTGCTCCCAGTCTGTTTCCATGAACAATCTAAAGTGCTGGTTTTAACCTTTTCCAGAGAGGTAATTATATTTGTTGGTTGCAGCAACAAAAAGGAAAAAATAAGTATTGTGACACCTCAGAGATTTAACAGATTTTATTACAGCATATGCTTTTAAGGACTAAAGGCCACTTCCTCAGTGAAAGTGCCACAAGACTCTTTGAGGTTCAAACCTATTCCAACTCTGTAAGTTGAGATGGGTGGTGAATGCAGACATGACACCAGAGGAAGAAAAGCTCTGTTTTTCAGGGCTCTTTTTCAAATTTTGTATATAATACCATAACCACCAAGGGAATATGGCCCAACTCAGCAGAGCTTACTTCTGGATGTAACACAACCCTATAGGTGGTTGCTCAGATTAGTCTGTCACAGAAAAATACAAACCAAAAGTATTGTGTCACTTAAAGATTAAAATATTTATTATGGTACAAGTTTATACCACAACAAACTATTAACATGAAAAATGGGTGCTTCTCTCCTCTTCAATCCCGCTGCTTGTTTACTGTTAAAAAACAAAACAAAACCAGGAGTCTTCTGGCACCTTAAAATGCCAATAGATTTATTGTGGCCTGTCAAGAACATTTATATGCCATAAGAAGCTAATATCTAAGGACATGATGCTAGTTATACGTCCTAGAGAGCGATGTGTAAGATTGCATTGCTAATTTCATAAGTGGGCCAACTTGTTTATATGTTTTACTTGCATCTTTTTGTGCATTGCCAAATGCAATTATGTGCCATAATGTGTGATTTTCTTTAATGTCTCCTAAGCATGGCTTCTTAGGTTAGCTTCAGTTTATTTAAGAAATGTACTGAGTTGCAAGAGGTGCAGAAAATAACCAAAAATATATAGGCGCTGGAGCACCTCCCCTATTAGGAACAAGCATGATGTTTGGGGCCTTTTTCTACAGAAAAAAAATGCAAATACGGAAGAACATGATCAAAAATTACACAAATCACTGCCACTAGAAGTAGTTAAACAAATTAATGAAGGGAATACGTTTGTCAAGAGCTACTAATGATAGCTATACAGAAGCTCCATTGTTTGGGAACACAACCAGGAGAGGGCTATGTTTTTCTGCACATGCAAAAAATGGTCCTGTTTAGATAAGCCTACCAAGATGCTTAGAAAGTTGAGATAATTTTAAATCTGTTTCAGCATTTTAACTTTTGTATGCTCTAAAGCAGGGTTATGAAGTTTCTTGATTTTACTGCTTTATCTTTTGCAAACCGCTCTGGAAGTTGAGTCAAGCGGCCTTTGACTGGATCTGGTACAGCGATTCCTAGGTACATGGCCTGCACCAAAGCTAAAGCATCGCAGCAGCAACTAGGTAACATCACCAGCACAAAATCCAATTGAAATGCAGACTGGCTGCGGCTACTTATGCACCGATATCTACGTAATGAACATTAAAAATACAGTTTCGTTATTGGCGGACATGAATCTATTCATGCAGGTTTCTGGAATGATTAAGTCAAACTTTATTTCATTTTGGAAACCAGCATCCTGGAGGCCAGGGGATCAAGTTCTGGCAGCGAAAGGCCACCCCACCCCCGCCCGGCTGAGCGGAGGCTGCGACCACCGACCACGGTCCCTGACACCGAGGGACGGAGGGAAGCGCTGCCCAGAGGCCGGCGGGGGGAGGGGACCCTCGCGACCCACCGCCGACCAGCTCTATCTCTATCGTCCTCCTCCTCCTCCATAACATTCTACCCCAGAGGCAGGATAACTCCGCACGCGGCGGCGCTGCCGTCGTTCCCCACTGACACACCTCACGGAGGAAGAAGACCTTACCTGGCGCCGGCCTCATTCTCCTCACGACGCTCTCGCGGTGGCTGCGGGCGGCCGTAAAGCGCGGCGGGCTTAGCAACCCAAGGGCTGTCAAACAGGAAAGCAACTTCCCCTTCCCTTTCCTTTCCGCGCGGTAGTGGCAAAAGGAAAGGGGAGCTCATTAACATACGGGGCCAATGTGCCCCGGACTGTGGTGGTGAGGGGGGAGTGGGAGGCGCAGCTGCTCCGGCTGTTGCCGCCCGTGCGCCCCCTCCCTCGCCCGCCTGTGAGGTGCGTGGGCGGGGCTTAGCGAGCGGGTTGGGCTGGGGCGCGGCTGCGGGGAGGGAGAACGAGCCTCGCTCGCTCGGGCGCGCGCGACTTGGGCGTGTTCTCCTCACAGCTCGGCGGAGGAGGAGGGGGCCCGAGAGAGAGCGAAGGGCGGGGATTGATGAGGGAAGACGAGGCGTGATTGGAGAGGAGGGCTTTGCGCGTGCCTTCGTGTGTGTGCGTCTGTGTGTGTGCGCGCGAGGGAGGGAGGGGGCGGGGGGCAGAGGAGCGAGGCGAAGCGGCGTCTCCCTCACAGAGCGGCGGAGGGTGGGGGCGAGGGAAGGGAGGCTGAGGAGCGCGGACGCGAGGCGGCAGCAGCAGCAGGAGGAGGCGGAGACTGCGGCGCGGCGGTGCTGGCGGTCGTCGTCGTCGTCGTCTTCCCCTCCCCGCCTCTCGCAGCCCGTGAGGGGGCACGATAAGCGGAGGGATGCGGCGGCCCCGCCCGACCCACAGGTGAGGCGCCTTCCTCTCATTCCGCGGAGTCCCCGGGCTCCAAAATCCTGCCGGGTTGGCGGCTCTTCCTTCCTTCCTTCTGCTCCTCTCAGTGCAGCCGGTTATGAGGCGGCGGGGGGCGACGCGGCACCGCGAACGGAGCCCTTCTCAGCCGGGCTTCCTTTCCCCTCACGGTCTCCGGTCGCCGCCTCGGCACCTGCGGCTGTTCTAGGCGGCCGCCCCGATGCCTCCTGCTTCCTTCGTAACCTGACGGGCGGGAAGATAGGAAACGGTTGGGAGGAACGGGGGAGGGGAGGGGGGACCTAGTCCTAATCCTAATCCTGATTCTAATCCTGACGGAGCGGGTAGCTGGGCAGGTTTCTAGTCCCTTGCGTCCTAAGCGGGGTGGGAGGGAGCTGCGGGATGTTCATTCATTCCAGGGCTTCGGTAGCCTGCCTTCACCCTCTGCCTTCCGGCTTTGCTGGTTCTGTCCACCGTCAGGGGCTCCCGGGTTCCTCTGCATGTTTCTCACGAAATGTATTTAAAAGATTCCTCCCCCAGCCCCCCTTCTAGATATTACCTCCCCCCCCCCTTTGGAAACTGCTTGCAAGGTCATGGAGCCTTCTGCTTAGCTACCCACCCCCATCCCTGCGGTGTGGATGTAGTATGAGATCATCCATTTTTGGAACCCTGCTACAGTGTCTTGTATTTCTGGCACTGTTGGGGAAAAAAATGATGGTTGCTGTTGCATTGCATGTGTCTGGGGCTGAAATCTGGGCTACAGCTGCTCCATTGTGATCCAAATGAAAAGATTCCTGGCCAGGCTGGCTGATAAAAGAAAAGAAAAACCAAAAACACTTTCCCCCTCTCCTACACAATATAGAGGGTCTTTTGCCTGCATCTCTTAAATTTCAGAATTCTCCACTTCCTTAAGACTTTGTCAGTGAAAACTTTTGTATTTCAGTTTTTTTCTTTTATTCTTTGCAGCTGTGTGTACTTGATAACAAAGCAACCTTTTCTTATACTTCAGTGTAATAGCAGGATTTCTGGAAGTAGCTATGACTCTTAGTTTAGTCTGTGGGTTTGCTGTGCAGTTAGAACCCTGCAGTATGGAGACAAATCAGTACATTCTGTCACATCACTGCTAAGCAGTGTTGGATGGAAACAACACTGTAAGCTATAAAGGATGCACAGAATTTGTTGTGGCTATGTTTTCCTCAAGGGTATTTTCAACATGACTCTGCAGTGTGGATAGCATTGTATATAGAGCTTTTGGGCTTAAATGTAAAAATCCTTTAAAATGAAGCATCAAGTGTGAAAAGGTTTATATCCTGGGTTAGCCAGTGTTTGTTTTACTCTTTCAGTAATGACAAGCCATGCAATCCCCACTCTTTCTTGTGTCATGTTGTGCTTTTTTTCTAAGCCGCCTTAAAAGCAGGCTTTAGTGACTGGGTGTTTGGCAGCAGCATCAACAGAAAATTGGCTCAAAGCCTCCCTACCCCAGCCCACCCCAACCATTTCAGCAAGCTTCCCTTTTAATACACAAACACACACATTTCAGTCTGTGCACTCCGCTACTCTTGTACGTAGTGTATTATGTCTCCTGACCCTTTCCCCTTAAAAAACCCTTGATCAATTTTCTGCAGAAATGAAATTAACAAAGCTCCCTTTTAGAGGAGGAAAAACGGTTATACAGCAGTGTAGGAGAATAAATGTATTACACTAAGGAACTTGCATGTGAGTCCTGCAAAGGTGAAAATGTAGCTCAGGATCACTGCAGGATGGTGTGGATTTATTTTTATTTTTTAAAAAGGAAGCGACCACAGCCTTTTCAAAGTTAAGCCCTTCTAAATCCATTTGAATTTGTGGAATTACTAAACAAGCATTTGACTTTCTTCCATCAATATCAACAGAATTGAAAAGTTCTTAACTTTGGGTGGATTATGTTTAGCATTATTAAGCATGGAAGTCCATAAATAATCCAGAAAGAAGTACAAGTCTTCCATGGTAACATGCTATGGATACAAGACCAAATAATATTTTGCTATTTGTCCTCAGATGTTGAAAATTTGTACAAAAACTAGAAATTGTCAGGCTCCTTAAAATGACTAGTCATGCTGAATGGCTTGCACACATTAAGATTTTTATACTTTTCTTTATCCAAACAGCTGGCCACCATGTGGTATCACAAACTGCTTTCTACAGTTCTCTCAATTCAGCCAGGCTTTCTTATGTGACATTGGCAATGAGGTAGGAGACTGTTGTTGAGAAACACAACTTGAAAGCCCCTTTGAGTACCTAGAATTAGATGCACTTTGCTTTGGATCCTAGTCTCAGTTTTGTTGATTAGGAAAATTACCCAAGACTTACATAACAGGTCTGTACCGGCTGCATTTAATGTTAAAGAGAGCCACATATAATTATGTACTGCTAGTATCTAGCAATGTATGTTTTACATAAATTTTATGTGATTTAGTTATCATAATGCAAAATAAAAAACATACTTATTTTCATTCATTATATTTTCAACACAGCTAGTTGAAAGTCCTTCAACTCAAATAAATACCTGCCTGTATAACTCCCCCAGTCCTTGCAGTAGCTCTGCTTTAATAGATATATTGAAAATTTTAGCTATAAATTGATACTAAACCTACTGAACTCAGACAAAAGCTTTGTTAATTTTTAAATAAAGACAACCTATATTCCATTTATGGAAGGTGAGGTTATAGAATTACATGGCAAGTTGCAGGAATCAGAAAAGGTGGATACGTTTTAAATGTGTACTTATTAGTTATAATAACCACAGAGTTACAAGCAAACACAGTTAATATTACTAACTGTTCACGATTCAGGTATTTGATGCTACAATCAACTAAAAGAAGTTTCTCTGTTCCTTTCATATGAATTTAATAACTGTATACCATATAGTGGTTTTGTATATGCCTGCTAAAGATAGTAAAATGTGTAAATGAAACTTAATCAGCTGTGCAGTATACTAGCCACAGCGACCATGTCACTAACAAGCACCACAGTGCATGAGAGCATCTGGTGTAAGTTGTTTCGTTTTCATTTAATGTTGTTCATCACCTAAAAAATAGAAAAAACTATTTTTAAAGAGAATATCTAATGTAAAGAAAGATAAGTTTGTCAACTGTATCTCTTTTAAATGAGGCCAAAAGTCTTTATTCACTGTTTGGTTTGTGATATCATACTTCACTGTTTAAATCAAATTTGAGCAAGGTTTGAGAAATATTTGCTGATATTTTGAAAATTATATATAGTAAGGTTTGTATTCATATAATTGTTTGAACTGTTTGGCTTTAGAAAAGCTTGAAAGCAATAGTTGATATCCAGCTAAGTCATACCTGTAATAGACTCATCAGGATCGATGGACTTAAGTAATTTAAGTTCACTTATTTCAGTGTATCCTCTCCATGAATCAGTTAGCTGAATATCACCTTGTGTTTCAGTAGATCTAGTAGTTTTTTCATGAAGTTATGCTTAGGAGGGTAACTTAGTATATTACTGTGGCTGTCTAATTAAAATGTTGCAGTTTTTTTATGACTTTATCATGAGAATTCATATTGATAATTCATATATATTTATGGAGTTTTGCTAATGTCTGCTCTTACAGTGTTATAGTATAGCAGCAACTTTAGCGAAAGTTGTGAAAAAATGGACATAGCAGCTAAAAATATTTACTTAAAAGGAAATTGAGTGCTTTGTTTCATCTCTGGTTTTGACTAATGATAGTCACCCATCAGATGGTTATTACACAACTAGACTTTAGTATCATTTTATCTTTGCTTCAGTTTTTACAAGAAATCTTAAGGATAGAAAGTGACTTTTTGCTCCCCTGCCAAAGTTTATGTAATGGGGATTCTATACATATGTAATATTCTCATATACAGAGCACTGAGGCTGAGGTGCCAGATAGTAGACGTGTGCATCTTTATAAAGGGTCACAAAAGGTGCTATGTCCTTAAAGATGAAGAGTTTTATTTATGCTTAACTTCCAGTTGAGTCTTACCATAAGTTGGTATTTGGTGTTAATATGAATGTAAGAAGATCCCTGCTATGTCAGATCAAAGGCCTATCTAATCTAGTATTTTGTTCTCATGGTGGCCAACCAGATGCCTATGGGAAGTCCACAAGCAGGACCTGAGTACAACTGCGTTCTGCACACTTGTGAATCGCAGCAACTGGTGTTCAGAAGCATACTTCCTCTGACAGTATCACCACCATGTCCAGTAGCCATTGATAGTCTTATAAGCCATGAATTTGTCCCAAATCTATTTTAAAATCCAAGTTGGAGGCTGTTACTACATCTCATGGCAGTGAGCTCTATAGCTTAACATTGTGCTGTGTAGAGAAATAATCACTTTTGATCTGTCCGACATTTAGCTTAATTGGATGGCCTTGATCCTGGGTTCTGGTATTAAAAGAGGAATAGAAGTGTGTCAACTGCATACATTTTTTTTTTACATCTTCATCATGTCGCTGCTTAGATGCCTTTTTTTTAAAACCTAATTATCATCACTTTACACGTGCTTACATTGAGTTGCAGTTTTAATGCCCATTCACTCAGTTTGGAGAGATGTTTTTTTAAACTGCTTTCAATCCTTGCTTGTTTTTTACTATCCT